ATCCTCACATTGGGAACTCATGAATGGAGATCTACCATCAGAGAAGTCCCTCATTCAGTGCCAATACTACACACACTTGACTGAAATTACTTACGGGCCCCCGTAAACACTCTATAAATAATGACGATTTCCACCAAATCAAAGTACGCAAAATTTATACATAAAAAATTAACAAGATTATACTCTATTTTTCTCCTCATTAACTAGAAACAGACACTGACTTGAGTGTTGGAGGAGATGTCGTAGGAAACAACCTTCGGTGCTTCTAACCTCTATTATTTCTGTAGCGAAGTACAAAACAAGACCCTCAACTGAAGATTAACCATCAAAGGTTAGTAAGGGACCCCAAAATCAAGGTTAGCACCCCTAAATCACATATCAACTTCGCGACGTACACAGCCTGGTGCCCACCATGGGGTCTCATCTTCACTTTTTGAGGGATGGTTGATCTTCAATTCCAAATCGTGGAAGAGCAGATCAGGGAAACTATTTTCCCACTGCTAGCAACAAGCGCTGGTGGACGAATAATAGGTACAAAGAGACAACGCGAGCCTTCTTCGCTAACTTGGTAGGAACTTGCAGACCGGCCTATGAAGCTTTCGCGGGAGAGAACCCATAGTAGACAGAGTGGGGAGGTCACCCCATCAGAAGTTATCATGCCTAATAACCAATAGCTAGCACTACAATAGCCAATCCCTTATTGTAGAAAGCTCATCGACAATAAAAAAAAACGTTGTCCTATGAAATGCAGAACAAAATGCCAAGAGAAAAGTCTTAGCGGTTTGAAAATTGTAAAGCAATTGAGAAGTACAACACATTGTAAATATAAAACCACTAGAGAATACCTTGCATTTTTGGCTAATTAGTGTGTAAACCCCTCGTGCTCCTGCCGCTCGATCTTTATCGACTCAACAACCAAGATCAAAGTCCTCGGTATCGGTTTTCAAGAGTAGACCCAAGGCACGGCAGGGCGCCCTCATCGCTCGATCTTCACTGACTCATCAGGCATTCACAAACCCTTGGAATCAATTTTCAAAATAGGCCTCAAGGCACAAGCAGAAGATGTGGTCGCTAGGCACTAGCCAAAAGCCTCCAACAAACCTTAAGTAGACAATACCAAGGAACCACTTGGTCTTCACTGGTGTACCCAGAACACAACAAGACTCGCGTCTCGATCCCCACCAACTTGTTCAAGATATCCCAAAAGCACACATGAGAAATTACTCATACTGGCGGCATAAGCATACTGGAGGCTAACAACTTTTTAGGGAGAGTTGGAGGACCTAATCCCTGTACAAGCTGAGCCACAACTGTTAGATTAATCATGCGTGTAAAGGCATCAGCTGCCAAGACGAAAAGAAAAGGTGAGAAATGATCAACTTGCCTAACTCCCCTTTTAGACACAATCCATTTGTGAGGCATACTATTAAGCAGAACAGATGATTTACCATCACAAAGACAAGTTCTAATCCAGCCTAACCACTTACCCTAACCCTTTTAGCTTGTAAAACATCAATAATAAAACCCCAGTCTAAAATATCATATGCCTTGGCATAGTACAACTTAAACATCATAGCACATTTTTTTTCTTTTTCTGAACGCAGTCTGAAATTATCTCCTGCGCAGCCACTAATCCATTCATAAGATATCTACCTTTAATGAAACCATTTTGTAGAGGATCCACTAAAAGGTGAAGATTTGTGTTTAATCTATTTGTGAGAACTTTTGTTATGATTTTTATATGGCATTCAATAAAGTGATAGGCCAAAAATCACTAACACACTCAGTATCACTCTTTTTAGGGATCAAAACTATGCGTGCATAATTAAGCATTTCTACATCAAGCTTCCCCTCATAAAACTCTAAAAAGAGTTTAAAAACACCAGCTTGAACAACGTCCCAAAACTCTTGAAAAAACGAAGCAGAAAATCCATCAAGACCAGGTATTTGTCTCCATTCATGCTAAAAACTGCCTCTTTTACTTCCTCCAAAGTAAAGGAATGTTCAAGAGAACCAGCCCCCCATTCAACATTAGGAAACAAAATGTTCCAATCAATACCTATCCTATGTGGAACACAATATCCAAAAAAAATATTCTTATAATGTCTATAGAAGGCATCAGCTTACCATTTGGAGAACAAAACTCCATCCCATCATCCCTAATAAAAGGAATATTATTGGACTATTTCCTACCATTGGCTATTTTGCAAAAATAAGCAGCGTTTATGTCCCCCTCTTTAAGCCAACGGGCTTTAGCCCTTCGTTTTAATAGCAATTCTTCTTGCTGAAGAATTCTAGAAAGGTCTAAAAAAACCTCTTCTCTTCGAGTAAACTCAGTATCAGACAAAGTTCTTTCCTCCTCAGCAACATCTATGGCAAGAAGTTCATCAAGCACTTTTTTCTTAGAAATTCTCACACTATAAAAATTTTCATGGGTCTATTACTTGATAATTTTCCGAAGAATTCTCAGCTTATTAACAATGTTTGCAGCTGTAGAATTTTAGGGAGGTGTCGTTTGACAACACAATCACATAGTTTTTAAAAGATTCCTCCTGAAGACAAAATTTTAGAACCCTATTTCAAGTCTTCGGCAATCCAGTTATTTCATGCACATCTAGAACACTGAACACAATATCCTTTCCCCCAATCCTGAATGAGCTATGCTCTGGATTAAATGCATGAAGCAAGCAATCAACTGCAACTTGTTCATTAGGTATAGCCGGTAGATTAATAAAATGGAAAAAAGGGGTTTGACGGAGGGCTTCATAATGATTATTATTTAGCAAAGGCCTTAGACGATTATTCACCAAATCACGAAATACGCCAATATTTGAAGGTAATCTTAACTCTGCAATATTTTTCCTACAAAAAGAAGAATATATCAATCAAAACGAATAGCCCTTATAAATGCAAAAATTAATAGATTGTAAAGCAAAGTGATAAAGCATTAAGAACTGCATTAAGAAAAGAAGAAGGTAATGCATGGTCAGAGACTTAACTGGAAATTGGTATTATAGGGTATATTTAGCATGAAAAGGTAATGAAACAACAAATTAACCCAAGCAAGAATGACAATTTTGCTGAGAATTGAAGTCTACAGTATCAATTATACAATAAAGCACACCACACGTCAACATTACTTCATCTGATCCTCTCCAGAGAAAAAACACATGGTTAAACAGGAACAATAGTTGAGTTAGATTCTAGAATAGACTTGACTTTAAACTATAAGTTGGTGCAGAATTCCTTTGAACCAAATTAACCGGCAGATATACAAAAATTTTGTATATCATCTTTGAGCTTACAACATGAAGAATCAAGTCCTCAAATTTCACCTTGACAATTACCAAAAAAAACAAAAAACCAAGTAACTAAGCTAAGATGATATCTTTCTCAAAAATACAAAATAAAATGTAAGATGATATGATTTGGTTTAAGGAACCAGGCCTTAATAAGACAAAGAACAAACAGAACCATCAGTTCCTAGAAGCCTTCTGTCAGTTAGTTTAGACTAACAGTTTTTAACTTAAAATACAATAAATACCAAAAATAAGTCAAAACATGGACAAGAAGCATGTTTATACAGCTAAATTTGATAATGAAGGAGTTGCTCATGTAAACTTTTATCAATATATTCAACTCTTCACATGCTAATATCTATTGTTTCATTGTTGTAGGATAAAAATCAACTATTGTAGCAGAACACTAGTTATGTTAAAGTTTTCTCCTGATGCTCTTATTTATCATTCGTATGTATCAGACGTATCTAGGGATCTAGGGATCCAAATCTTCAAATTCAATTACAAGTAAAAACATAAGAAATTATTAACATAACAATAATTTCATATAAATTAAAATTTACTTACTTAGTAGCCTTCGACGTCGATTGGGAAGAATCCCTCGATTTACTTCTGCTTGACATCTTTGACAACCTATTGACAAATATTTCAAAAAATACAATATAATTATGAATATCCCAGCGGCAGGTTGGAATCCTTTTATAAATAATGATTTCAACACCAAGCTATCATAGGTGTTAAACCTTAGATGTTCGAGAGATTACTATGATATAAGTACATTCTTATCTTTCGGGCCCTTTCAACAATTTATACGTGCAAGTTGCATGTGATCAAAACTACAACAAGAGGCTTAATTTCGATCAAAAGAAAGTGTTCTTCTTTTGGAACTTTAATTAGGTCAGCCAAACAATGGATAAGTTATTAGAACTCACCGATGTAAATAAGAGTGAAGATATTAAATGAACTTCCAATGTACGAAACAATCCACAGTCCCACAATGACCTAAATTATACCAAACATCAACATAATTAGGTCAAGAAATCATCCATTTCCATAAATTAATTTTAAAAAAGAGCTTAATCACACTTGCAGGAAAACCTTTCGATCTCTCCCAACTCCAATATCTCTCGCTAGAGACAACATCGATTAGTCTAAGCCCTAACTCTCTCCGTCGCCTTCTCTACAACCTCATTCGAAAAATAAAAACACTCAGTGATATGAGGAACTTGCGATGAAAATCGATGATCTAGGGGCTTAATTTCAAGTATTAGAGAGGAAAAGGGGAAGATTCGTGTGTTACCCGCTTTCAGACCCGTGCAGCCGCCGTCCGTCGTCGCTCCAAATGTCCTCCGCTTTCAGCGTCGCTGCCGGTGATCCTTAACCAGAGATCTCTTTCCCGAAACTCTAATCTCTCCTGCACTCTTTGAGAAAGTGAAACGGAAGAGAGATGGAAGAGAGAGAGAGGGGATGAGTTATATTTGGGGATGAGGTAGTTTAGGAATTTTTAATTTATTGGGTAAATACAGTACATAAAATGGGTATATTATATATGTTGGGTTTAAAAATAAGTGAGATGAGATACAGTGGGTCTATTGGTGTTTGAAAAAATGAGTGAGTTTTAAAATAAGTTGTGGTAAAACTTTGGGTTAAAAGAGATTTTTTCCTTGTTTATAAAAGCAAAGCAACGGTTGTGATGGGATCCATAGGAGGGGGGAGAGGGAGAGATCGAATTGGGGTTGTTAGGGTTTGGTTAGAGGATGTTGACGTCGTGGTATGAAGTGGATGAGTCTCCGGCGAAGAAGCCGGAGTCGACGTCAGAGGAGTCGGAGGAAGATGATGACGATTTTTGCGGGGGTGGTGATCGGTCAGAGGAGTCGGATGGTCAGTCAGAGGAGTCGAAGAAAGATCTTGACGATATTTTCGGGGACGGTCTCCACGAGATGACCGACCAAGAGTGGGCCATATACGAGGAAGCTGTTGATCGCAGCGATGTAAAGCCCCACCCCCCCTAAAATAATTGATTATTTGTGTTTTAATTATTTTAATTTATCATTCTTCATCTTTGTTAGTCATCCCCCCACCCCTAGGGATTTGATGTTCCTCTGTTACCCAATGTTTTCGCTATCGGTATCATCCAACCGGCTGACAGCGGTTGGCCCGCTGAGGATATTCGTGAATACGCCGAGATTGCCATCGAGGACCAAAACGAGAAGAGAAAGAAAGAGGTCTGCTTCTTCTTCTTCTCCTTCCTCCTCCTCCGCTAATTAAAGAACATCGTCATTACAAACTTATTACTATTCTCACAGGGTGGCAATCAACTCCGGCTTAAAGAAGTCATCAAGTGTAATTTGCAGCCTGCTTGCCCCGCCAACTTTTACATAACTTTAAAGGCCGAAGATGCCGACACCGGCCACGTCGATGAATATGAAGCCATGGTGAAGGCTCGTTGCGGAAAGCAGAAAGACGAGGTTCATATCTTTAGGAAGAAAAACAAACCGGCTATTATTAATCCACCAGCGTCGACGGAGGTATAACTAAACCGATCCCTATTGTTAAAAGATTATGCTCTTGTCTTTTCCCTTGCGATCGAGAGTTTTTCGTGCAAAGCTAGCGGATTAGTTGTGACTTGGAAGACATTTGTAGCTAGTTATAAAAGTGAGGCACATTAATTCCTGGTGGTCAAGACGATGTCAATTTGAATATGAACTGGAGCACAAATGCATGGCAAGCATGATTGCCATACGGCGGAGATTTGGGCAGTTTTTATTTAGGCTGTTGCGCATGAGCGGGGTCATGAAGAAAATTAGATTAATTCCTGGTAAATCAGGAAGTTGCCATTAGGACAGATCACTATTGTTGTACTTAGTTCTTCCCTTCTTCACACCCATGCTTATTCTATAAAAGCTCGTGCATTTCTCAAATTTACAAATAATTGCAAATTGTCCCTATACGTTTCTATTTTTTATGCCCATATCAGCTTCTATCTGATAGTTATATTTTCACCTTCACTTCCTCCGCATGTTCTCCCTTCGCATGGCGTGACAACATTAAGGGAATATTCCTTGTATCATTCAGTGTGATATTAGCGTGATTAGAGTTTACTCATTACCTAGATTTAAAAACCCGACCAATACCAATATGCATCAGCCACACCAAAATTGCAGAAGGAGCCTTTCATTCCTTATCACTCTCTATAATTTCGATCAAAATAAGGCCTGTTTTTTTGCCTTTTGGATACGTAGGGCAAATTAGGTACGTAGGGCCATTTATCTTATAAAGTCAATTTGAGTGTGTGGATGAATTACCGTCGAGAACTGCATCTAACGTTGGAACCATAAAACAGGCTAGATTTCTAGTTTAGACGAGCTATGTTAATTTCTTTACTCATCTGTTAGATGTATATTCTAATTTCATTGTTGCGTGAAGAGAACAACTCGGCTAAGAAAGCTTTAATTCGACATTGCGATTCACCTTTAACTAGTGTTACTTAACAAAGCAGGACCTCCTCTTTATTTGGTAGACAATATTCAATTTGGTTCATCCTTGATTATTAACTAATCTCCGCTTGCCAAAAATATTAGTCCTTTAGCAAACGATGTCCTCACGTGACTGTGTCAATTGTTTTTGCTCTCTGGATCTATATGCAATTTGTTCTTTTAATTATTATATATTCTTTGGGTTTTCCATGTAGCGTAATGAGTCCCTGATATTGCATCTGTCTATTATTTGTTGAGCTCTTATCATAAGGCGAAGAAAGCCTTAATTCTACTTAGTGATTCACGTTTAACTAGTGTGTTACTTAACAAAGTAGGATCTCGTCTTTATTTGGTAGACAATATTCACTTGTGCATCTTTGATTATTAACTAATCTCCGCTTGCCAAAAATATGAGTTCTTTAACAAACAAGGTTCTCATGTGACTATGTCAATTATTTTTGCTCTTTGGGCCTATGTGTAACTTGTATTTTTAATTATTAAATTCGTTGGATTTTCTATGCAGCATAATGAGTTCCTGATATTTCATCTGTCAATTTTTTGTGTTTTTATCATAAGGCTAAGAATGTTAGCAAAGCAAACCAGATATTTGATATGTCTGAGCGGTTTGAACTTTGAACCCGATTCAATAACATTTAGGTTCTTCTTGGGAACATGTCTTTGGGTCCTGGATTTCAATCCAGCTTAGCCCAGATCCAAATCTCATGATTTGACATTCTTTTGTGCAATGCACTTAAAATCAAATTATTCAATGTGGATGGATGGAATTTGAAGTCCAGAATGGTGGAGTTCAAATGATAACCTTATACTAGTGACTTTTCCTAATATTTTTTTCCATTTCTAAGGTCATCTCTTCTATATAACATCAAGTTCTCTCTCTCACTTAAATTTCAGAGTCTTGGCTAGCGGTGAGCAAATGGTGAATCAACTCGGTTTTTATCAAAATTTGACAAACCGAAAGCAAATTGTTTATGATTCGAAGTGAACCGATCTGACCTAAATACCTTTGCTTATCTCGGTTTGGTTTATTTGGTTTCGGTCTAAAATCGATATAAATATCAATGACTTGAAGTGTTGTTTTCGCCCTCACTTAAAGATCTCAAACACCAACCGAAATAGGAAGGTTCTATTTGTATTGCTTAATTTTGGGAATGTAGTCCGAAGTGAATACAATGGTTAAAGTGTTTGTCAGGACTCTTAGACTTGAACTTTTTGCTATAGCGTTCAATTGCTAATTCATGTAATGGTTTACACTTGGTTCCATGTCTAACCACTTCAAAAAGTTGCACAAGTTATGAACTAAAGTCACCAAGCCTAATTCATGTTGAATCTTTGATAAAAAAGATGACCTCAATTTATTTATGAGATAAACTACCATAATAACATCTGCGTAAGGATTAGGAACAGGCGTGGATTTTTTTTTCCAATCAACAGGAATAGACATGGACTTTAGTTTGAAGTATTTTATCTGGTACAAATATGTTTGGTCCGTTTGTTTATTTGGTTTAAGCCAAACTTTGCTCACCCTTAGTCTTGGTCACAACCTCCTAAGACCCTAACAACCTCAAGAGACAATGCTGACGACAACAAACATCAAAGGCACTGGTAGCCGAACTTCGACGAGGCCACAATCTTCAAAAATCCAGCCACTCTTTCTCTCTAGAATATTTCTCTGTAAGGTTACCCATTTATTTTTGTTAAATCTGTTCTATTTGTGTTGTTATTGCGTTAGATATTCTGCCTTTGACTCAATAAAGTTGGTTTTTTCTCTGATGGATTCATTTTTAATGGTTTTTTATAACAATTTGTTTTTCTTTTTTGACTAATTTATTTGGGTAGGTTTGTTATGGAGATGTGCTTATGAAGATTGACTGTGCATTTAATTTTCGTTGTCATTTTTCTGACTGCAAAGTTTTGAACAAAATGCTATTGTCGAGATTTGTTATGCCAAGGCTTGTTATGTTAGTCAAAGGTTTAATTTAATTTGATTTTTTTAGCTGGAGAAAAGTCAAATAATTTTATTTTCAAAATGTTAATTCTTTTTCCAATATATATTTGAGCAGTAAAAGCTCTTATAGCATGGAAAAACATCTGTTATAAACTCATATTTGAGTTGTAACCATTGTTTCTTTAAGTGATGTTTGAATTGTGAATATGTGATAGTTTAAATGCTTAATTTCTATGCAATCTTATTGATGCATGTTGAATCATATTTTGCAGCATGGACCAAGTGACTCAGATTGTGCAGTTGAGGACCCAGGCAAAATTTGTGAGTCCAGAAGTTGGGACCGAGGGGAGACAAAAAGGAGGAGACTGTGAAGGACGAGAATGGGGATTCTGAGATATGGTTTTTTTAGTAGGTTCATGTTGATATCTTATTTTGGCTTATTGGACAGTCTGGTTATATTGTATATGTGGCATGTTATCTTTTAAATGAAGGCTTGTGGTGAATCCGGGACCTTCTCTTGTGGATTTTATGCTAGAACTCTTGTATTGTCGGACTATTTAAGAAAGATCGTGTCTAGTTATGTTGAATGCTGAAGGGATGAAAAACCTATGTTTTTCCAAGTTGTGGTTTAGTTATTTCATGTGTGGCATTTGAGTGTTTGATAGTGTGACTAAGATCACCACATGAACTGGTTTGCTAATTCCAAGACTCACTTGTAGGGGTAAGGTTCACATAAATAGCAAACTTTATCATCTTCTGCAAGACCATGTGTAGTATGCATTACTATATGATACTAAGATGCTATGAAGCAAGAAATTCCAATAAACTGCATAACTGAAATTTCATGGATATAATGGAACACCCATCAGAAAATCTAAATGAGCAATACGTTTGTTATAACTCCCGTCATGATTATACACTTAATTAGTTTTTTTAAAGGAATAGTCAGAAGTACAAAATTGATCATGGTAGGCTGAAAAATATCTATGATCTAAATAAAAGCATCTTTAACAACGTTAATTACATTTTTCATATGGATGAGTAAAATTATCCATGAGGAAATTTTTGGTTCACGCTTTCAGAAACTTTTTGAAAAACATTGAAAGTTAATGTGGGTTTTTTTAGAACACTATCACTTATTTGTTATTGAGAACAAATCATTGTATTTATCTTTTATTGTGAGTATCACTTGTAATACACTTGTACACCGAGAGAAGTGTGAGGCGAGAGACGGGGTCGAATCCAATAGGAGTGGCGTCGGTTGACTAACCTAGGGAGACGTTGCATCCGAGCACTTGAGGAGGAGGACACGGGCTAGGTTCCTACACTTAGTGTGTAAAGTGTGATTACATAGTATTTGTTGTGTGAGAGTTTTCGGTAATCTTGTAAACCGAGTGTGTAGAAGTTCCGGCTTCCAAACCGGATTGTGATAGTAGAGATCTCCTCGAGGTGAGGAGCGGGGACGTAGGTCGTGGTGACCGAACCTCGTGAACATATCGTTTGTTTGTGTTTTGCGTAGCGTTCTTTTTATTTGTGCTTAGTCATATCTTTCTTGCTCATATCTATCTTATATTATTCTTGCAAGAACAAATTAATCAATATTATTTTAATTAGCTTTTAATCAGGATTAGATTAGCATAAGACCCTAATCACCCCTCTCTATGGTCTAACAATTGGTATCAGAGCTTGGTGCTCTTTGATTTAAGGACTAATCGCCTTGAGTTAAAGATCCAAGTTATCGTTTTTGTGCTAATCTTGATTGCTTTTTCCTTCTTGCATATAATCTTATGGATATGTATGATGCATCTAGTCTAGGTTATGCTATTAATATTGCTCATTGTTTGGATATTTTCCCCTATGCTCAATGACGTATTAGATTCAAACTTTTTGTTCAATCTAAACAATTCGATTTATTGGAGATTATTGAGGATGCCTATGTTGTTCCCATTTTGGAAAAAATCAAATGGAGTAAAAATGATAAAAGATTGTTTAATATGAACAAGCTCTTGTTAGAATATTTGCTTAATGCTTTTCACTCATCGTTTTCTAACAAATTTGCTCATTTTGATAGTGCTTACGCCTTATGAAAATTTATTGAAGCACATGAAGGAGACTCGGAGGCTATTCAAAAAGAGTTGGAAGATCGCGCTTTAAGCTCTAAGGAAGTCTCATCTCCATGTACAATACCACTAGGTGATAACCCTAGTGAGGTATGCAATCTTGACAACAATGATATTATTACTTTTGATGAACTTGCTCTTGAGTTTGAAAAATTACACAATTGCTATATTGATGTAAAGAGTAAGTAAGTAAATATGAAATCCACTCATGAAACACTAGCCACTAAGTTTAATTTTATTACAAATGAAAATAAAATTCTTAAAGAATGCAATGAAAATTTGAAAATTGAAAATGCTAGTTTGCTTCATGAAAAACGTGATGCCATGTTAGAAGTAGATAAGTTAAAATCTATGATGAAAAATCTTGTTTATCCTACTTCTAGTAGCAATGCTTGTATGCACAATGATGAGTTGAATCAAATGAGAAAACGAATATCTACCTTAGATTCAACACTAAACACTTGTATTGCTAATAATAAAAAGCTTATGGACCTATGTGCAAAGTTCAATGTTAATTCTTCTAAGAAACCTATTCACTATGCACATATGTATGACAAAATTCACAAATGTTCTATTTGCGGTCTTAAAGGCCATTTAGCTCAATTTTGTCATAATGCACCAAAAATTGATAAGCCTATTCATGATTGTGCATCCCATCAAGCTTCTTCATCACATACACATGTACACACACATAGTGTAAATCATAAACATGCTCATGTGTACAAATATGATTATTGTGGTCGTTTTGGTCATTTGGCCATGTTTTGTTTCAATTTGAAAAGAAATTCTCGTTTGCAAAATAATTACAAAGAAAATTCTATTTTTGTAAATGAACCACGTGCATTCCATTTCGGTCAACGCAAACCATTCAAAACTCTACATTACACAAATTACAATCGTATGGGTCATGTTTACAATTTTTGTTTTGACCGTATCAGTGCACAAAATTCGCCCAAACGGATTCATAACCCTAGGGCATTGGATTTAAATGATAGGGGTCATGTCCCTAATCCTATTGGTACCAAAAATATTTGGGTACCAAAATGTGCTTAATTTCAAAATCTTAAATAACATAAGTTTTAGTTGTTTTTGATTATTCATGGTTTCAAATGTTATTTGAAATTACAATTTTAAATGAAATTTTTATGGTTTACATATTGAATATATTTACTGATCTCTTGGACATATTATTAATATATACATATTTGAAATTATTTAAAAATAAAACAAGTTTAATATTTCAAAAAAATTTCATGTCCCAATATGTTTATGAATCTCTTGCGGTCGACCGATCGTGGATCTGCGGTCGACCGTATGAAGAATCGTTTTCTAGTTTAGTCACTGGATTTTCTGCGGTCGACCGCCGCACCCAATGCGGTTGACCGTACAGGGTTAATTCTGAACTCAGTTTTCATTCTCTATTCCAGTTTTGGGTTTTGGTTTGATTTCTTCTTTGACCCGTTTCGATCTCCACCATCGATCATTAGCTTGAACGCATCTGGACCATTGCCTTTTCCTCTAAAGAACCCGATCCTCTTCCTTCCTCTTTCATTCGTTCCCAATTCCCTCATCAAATCCGATCTCCCAGCTCTGTTCTTGCGGTCTGTTGTCATTCCATCTCTGGTCGCCCGCATCTGCTCTATTCTTCTCCTTCGGATCTTTCATCGTGCTGGGTACATCCTTCTTCCATCTCTTTAAGTTTCTAAGTCTTGTTCTTGGTTTAGGGTTTCTTGCTTAAAATGCCTCCTTTGAAAAGATCTAAGTCTGATAATGTTCCTTTTCCTAATGTTGAGCACTACGAAGACTACCTGAGAAATACCCATCTTATTCCCAAGTACAGGGAGTTGTGCAAACTAAAAATTTTAGCTGGTAGGACTGTTAACTATGATGAACTTGCGCCCTATAATATTCCTAATCTCCTTAATGATGTTGTCCTATATCATCTCTTAGATAAAAAGAACAAAGAACCTCATTATCCCTTTCTTGTTTATCTCTTCTATGGTAATATATCCTCCTACACATCTGATGATAATGTTATATATCTTAGATCATATGTGAAGAACACCCAGATTAAGTTTTCTGCTGATGACCTTGCGGGTATCCTTAAGATCCCGACAAGTGATATTGACCTTATGTCCATTGTTCATAATCATCCTTTTGTTGACAGTAAAATGTTTCTTCCCGGTTGTACCTATCCTATGAGCAATAACACCTTGAACCCTTCCAGTAAAATCATTGCTAAGATTATTGCTCACAACCTTATTCCCAAAACTGGTAGTTTTGACCATTTTTCCTCTGATAGAGTTAATGCAGTTTATGCCATTTTTGCTAAAATCAAAGTCAATTGGGGGCTTGTTCTTCTTTAGAATATGATTAGCAAGCATACCAAGTTCCTTCCTTTTGGCTCATTCCTTACTATCATCTTCAAACACTTCCGTGTCGATCTCTCCGGTGAACCAAAAGTAGATGCTAATAAAGAATTTTTTGATAGAACATCCCTTTCTAGGATGCATCTTGAAGCCCCAATTCCTGCTCCTTTACCCTCTGTGGGTGCATCTTCTTCTAGACCATCTTCTAGCTCTAGGCCTCGACCTCGTACTCGTTCAGCTCCTATTTCTTCTAGTGAGGTCTATGATCATTTCGAGCGACTCGATGATCGTCTTGACAGACTTGAGACTACTGTTTCTGGTCTTCGGCGTGACGTGAGGGAGATTCTGCGGCTCCAGCGTCAATCCCTCGGGATTCAGGCATCTGTTTCCGGCTCTGGTTCTGGCTCAGCCTCTGGTTCTGACGAAGGTTCTGCTAAAGAATCTGGTTCAGAGGCAAGATCTGAGGATGTTGGCTCCGATGATAGTGATTGATGGACTTATGGTGGTTCTTTAGTTATGATGTTTTTATTTGGACATTGTAGTATTTCACTTAAAACACTTCTGTTCTGTTTTGGTCTGCAATATTTTGGTTAACAATCTGAATGTTTGGACTTACACTCGTTTCTGGTTAAAACTATGATGCTTGGATGTGATTTGTTGTTTGAAAACAATATTTTGGTTTTGTTTAATTCTTAGTTCAATCTGTGTTCTGTGTTGGTTTTTGTGCTGAATAATTCAACTTATATGTTTAGCTTACAACATCATGAAGTAGATTCATTCTATTTTTTTTATGTTGTTTTGTGTATTCATCCACATGTTTCTATGTCTCAAATGATCTATCTGCTTGTTAATGTTTGGATTATTATCTTATGGATGGTATACAATAACTCAAATGTTTGTGAGTTCTTCCTTTTCATTGAGTGTGGATCTTATATATATCACATATAATCACTCATGCTTCTTGACAGGGGGAGTTTGTGCCTAACCATTTTCTCTAACCTATGCATAAATGCAGGGGGAGCATTGCTCCTATCTTTTCCCCATTTTGATGTTGTCAAAGGGGAGAAAACTTGGTTTATTCATATGAATGTTAATGTT